AACAATTTTAAAAAGTGTTTTGCCTATGCTATCTCCATTCTCTGCCTATTTTTGTATAGTTGGACTAGACTGGCATTGTTAGAACATTTAACCAGTATGTGCCATAACTGCTCCCATTTCAACTTCATTTAGTCTTAGCTGTACAAATAATAGTATATGTGCCTTTAACACCAGGCCTGTGTCAGTCTCAGCAGCTTTCATTGTCTAAGACTAGAACCTAGTCTACAAGAAGGGCTCACACAATAATATTTTCTAAATCCTTGCGTATAATTAATACTTGCTCTGTTCTTTGTACTTAAAGGTCAGTTTCAGTAGATATAAAATCCTTGGCTCCTGGTTTTTTCCTTGGATACCTTACATGTATTACTCCTGTCTTCTTCAGATGTAAAAGCGTTGCTGTCAAAGTCTGGTCATAATTTTTATTTTTCTTTATATGCCAGATGCTTTTTTTTTTCGTTTGGGGGAATCTTTCAAAAGGAAGATGCTCTTTTTACAGCAATGTCCAAAGAAATTTTTTTTTCTTTTAAGAAAACCTTCAAAAAAATTTTTTTGAATGTCAAAGTTTTCTTAAAGTATAGTTTTTTCTTTTTGTCCCAGGACTCCTCTGTATCTGCATGCTGGTTCTTCTTTGCCTTCAATATTGTTCTTCAATATTGGACCTTTCAAATCCTTTACAATGTATGTTCTTTGTTTCTCTTTGACTTTTTAACTTAACCCTCCTTTTCAATTTGCGTTTCTGGTAAGGTGTTGAAGTAGTATATTGTAGATGAGATTTCTCTTTTGTAAATTTGAGTGTCTTTTTGATGTGAATCACCTGTGGAGATGTAATTTTGCTTCTTACTCGCTTTGTGTTAAGTTTTATGCTTTTCTGTTGCTTATTTTGATGTTCTTTGGTTTTTTAGCACTTTTGGGAGGAAACGGTTCAGATTGCTTTTAGTTTCTTAATTTTTATTTTTTCAGTGACAAAAGTTTTATATATTTATACTGTACAACATGATGTTTTGAAATAGGTATACGTTGTGGAATGGCTACGTTAAGCTAATTAGCATATACATTACCTTAAGCGTTTAGCCTTAGTTTTCTGGTGAGAACACTTCGGTTGCCTCTTTAACTTCACAGAGCTTCCTCCTCTGCTTCTTCTTGTTTTTGTACGCGTAGTGTTAAAACAAAGTATGGTGGCTTGCTTTGAGAGATTTCCTGGCTTTGTTCTCTTTCCTACTTTGATCTGGGCCTTTGCTTCAGATTGTGTTCTCAGCAGTTTCTCCTCAGGAGGGGCCTGTCCTGGGAGGGAGGAACTCCCATCAGGTCCTATCCAGAGAATTTGCTAGCTCTGGGCTGGACTCAAGAAAACTTGAGATTTCTTATCAACACCTGCTGGTTCTTTTGAGACTGACCTCCTCAAAGGTCCCTCAGACATCCTGTCCTCTGGATGCTGATCATATGCCCGGGTTACCCACCTCCTGGTTCTTGGTCCCTGAGTCAATAGAAATTGGCACAAGACTAAAAAAGGAATTTTTACAGGCGCAGGATTGGGGGCAGGCCTTTTGCTTCTATAAAAAGGAGACATTGCTGGTTATGGAGCAACCAGCCTGGCTCTCTGAACAAGGGGCAGGGGAACTTTTAAAGGGTGGAAAGAAAGAACGTTTGACGCCAGCGCTGAAATCATAGCACAGAGAGGCAGAGTTTTGTTGGCAGCTGCCCAACCATCCATTGTACTTCTTTAGACATTGCATGTCTCATTAGCATGTTAAATCGCCACCTTTGGGTGTGTGATCTTGAACATTAAAATGAGGTAAAAGGTCTATGAGCAGTCAGCCTCGGGCTTCATCTTGACCAGTGGTTCTCAACCTTCCTTAATGCCTCCTAATGCTGCAATCCTTTAATACAGTTCCTCCTGTTGTGGTGACTCTCAACCATAAAATTATTTTCATTGCTACTTCGTAACTGTAATTTTGCTACTGTTATGAATCATAATATAAATATCTGATATGCGGGATGTATTTTCATTGTTACAAAGGGGTGGCGACCCACAGGTTGAGAACCTCTGGTCTTGACTGTAAACAGTCTGTGCTGGTTTTGACGCCAGCCAGTGGACGCTGCTCTATTGATTGCCAGTCCTATTAAAAATAGCAGAAGCACCTTCTGTTGAAGCTGGGTGTTACTCATTTTTGAAATGTTTGTTCAGTATTGTAAGCAGACTTTTAATCTTTGGCTCAAGACTCAGGCAGGTAGCCAAAGTCCACTTCCTATACCAGCTGGAGGTGGTTCGTCTCCACTCATATACATTTCAGAGTTCCTGGGAACATCATGTCCCTTAGTTTTGTTGTAAATATTATCCATGAGGTTTTGGTTTTGCTGTTTCTTCGTTCGATCAGTTTTTACCAGTCTGTTGCTCCCTGTGTTACCATCTGCTTAGTTATACTGAAGCCCGAAAGCAGGGAGTCATTTTCAGCTGTCCCTCTCATTCACTTTCATGTCTTAGTTCATCCCCCCCGTCCCCTCCCCAGTAAGCTCCCAACCCTGTCTTCAGACCAGATTTTTACAGCTTCTCGGCTAATGCTGCACTGTCCTGAAACCCGATTTCTCTGCTTCCAGTCTGTGTCCACATGGCAGCTGGAGTGATCTTTCTGAAAGCATGGGTCGTGAGAATAAGATGGAGACAGTCAGGCTAGGCTGAGGTGACACACAGCTGGTCTGGCCAGTTTAGGTCCTTGTGACTTTTACCTCATGTTCCCCATTCTTATTGTTTTGTAAATTCAGCTATAATCTAAAAGTGTATATCTTAAATAGTTTAGGGCTATCGATTTAGGAGATTAACTTTTAAATTAGAAATGTTTTAGGTCATGGGTTATGTTAATTTGTGTTTATTATGGGTCATGGGTTATGTTAATTACTATTGTTTAAGATAAGGGTTAGTTAGTGCAGTTCTTGCTTTTATGTATAAAACTGTGATTTTGGAAATGGAAGAACAGAGCAGTCTCGGGAGAGGCTACTCTCACTGTTCTCTAAAATTGCCGGCCTTCTGACAAAGTTTGGTGGGCCTCTCCCCACTGTATTTGCATATTGGCTGACAGTGACAGGCGGCGGAACCATCCTTGTCCGGTAACATTTCTGAAATGTGAAGCAGAACATGGCCCTTCCCAGTCCAAACCCTTCAGTGATGCTGGTAGTTGCAGGGCGGGCTGAGGCACGGGGGCACAAATCACGGGTCTTCCAGGATCTGCCTCGGGCCTCCACCTCAGCCTCTCCCGGCTCCTGTCTCTTCCCCCAGTCATGTCACTAAGAGCAAACAACTTGCACTCGTTTCTCCAGATCCCAGGGTGTCCTTCTCACACCTGGAGTTTTGTCTTTTGTATTCTTTTTCCTGTCCTGCCTTTTTATTGGAAAATAAAATTGGAGAATGCTTTGCTATTATTTTTGTTGAGGGAAAAGTTCTTAAAGTCAGAATTTTACGGTTTAAAAGAAATCTGTAAGTTCACCAGAATTTGTTATAAAATGTGTTTCCTCATAGTCTTAAAAACCTTTTCTCACTTTCAACTTTGAACAAAAAGAAAAAATCCTAGACTGCTATGCTATTCCATTTCTTTTTATTAAATCCTGAACTTGAATGGATTAAATTTAAACATAGAACTGAATGTGGTAAACACTTAATAAAATGTAATTATTTTTCAGAGCCTTTGAGATAAAGGCAAACGTATTTGGTTTCATATTTAAATGATTCCTCTGTACAATTTCAGCTCTATCAAATCCAGATAGCCGTGCTTAGAAGAATAAGGCATCTAATAAAACCCAGGAAACCTTTCGGTTATTAGCATCGCATCACCCCGCAAGAAAGCATGACAGGTTTATTATCTGCACACATCTGCGGTGGAATTACAAAGAGAACCTGACAGGGAACCAGTTGGGAGCACTTTGGTCTTAATAGAAGACTGAGTCTGGTCTTTACAGTATTGATGGGGACTTGGGGTTGCAGGGCACGTGTCCTGCTCTAAGAAGCGGATGTCCTGGAACTGCTTGTTTGGGGTCTGCACTGTGGAGGGAAAGGCCAATGGGAAGAGGAAAGGTCAGAAAGCTGCTCCCTCACCCTTCATGACCCCACACGCATACCTTCACACACACACACACACACACACACACACGCACGGGGGGTAAACACCCAGATCCTCACTGTATGCCTAGTAGTCCCAAGCCAGAGGGACATAATTAAACCTACTCTATTTGAAAAGTAAGAACAGAAATTCCCAGGTAACCTGCTAACCGAAAATACATGAAAAAGCTAGAAAGTCACTTACAAAGGAAAAGGAAGCCTGATATTAAATGAAAAGAGAAGTACAAATTGGAGAAGCATAAGATGACATATCAACTTGAAACTGCTCAGGTAGAATAAATAATAATGATCTTGAAAGGAAGACAGGATATTGAACAGGAGGAAGAGAGTATGAAAGTGTCCAGGATGAACAAACGAGGCTTCCACAGCAGCTGGTGGAACACTTGGAACAGTGAGCACATCCTTCTCATCCATCTCAGGACTCTCACGTGGAGTCCTGGTGCTAAGTGTGTGTGAAGAGTTTGTGTACAGTGGAGAAATGTGGCCCATATGGAATGTGCTTTTGGCCGTGACTCTGGGTTTTTTTTTTTTTTTTTTTTGAGGCAGAGCCTCAAGCTATCCCCCTGGGTAGAGTGCCGTGGCATCACAGCTCACAGCAACCTCCAACTCCTGGGCTCAAGCGAGTCTCCTGCCTCAGCCTCCCAAGTAGCTGGGACCACAGGCGCCCGCCATAATGCCCAGCTATTTTTTGGCTGCAGCTGTTGTTGTTTGGCGGGCCCGGGCTGGATTCGAACTCGCCACCTTAGGTGTTTGTGGCTGGCGCTTTAGCCACTTGAGCCACAGGCACCGAACCTTAGCTGTGACTCTGATTTTAGGTACCAAAGTCACAGTTTTCCTGGAATACCCAGTCTTGCAGCCCTAGTCATGCCACTTTAATTGTTCTCTGACTCAGGAGTATGAGACCCAGTCTACTGCAGAAGCCAAGTTTGTGAAGCAGCTGGACCAGTGTGAGATGATTCTTCAGGCATCTGAATATGAAGACCTTGAGAACAAACCCGGGCGACTGCAAGACTTCTACGACTCCACCGCAGGTACTCAACCCCATTTCCAACAAGAATCCAGTTTTTGTTTGGCTTACTCAGTAAGGGGTGAAACCCATTGTTGGGACCCTCTTCCGACTGCTTTGTGTGGGGCATCAAAAAAGAAAGGGAAGGTAACATCCAGAGGAGAAGTTGAGGGTAGGGAATAAATGGAGTAGGATTTAGTGTGAAAGGAACAGTGAGCAACAGAAGACACAGGCAAAAACAGACCATGAGGGAAGCAAGGTTGGGTGGAACAGGCCCTGCGCTGTGCTCACCATCACGGACCTTCCATAGCTTGGAGCCTGGTTCTGCCAGGGCAGAAATCAGGGAGGGTGAGGAGCAGGGACAACAGCATACATAAGCCAGTTGAAGCACAGAGGTGTTTGCAAAGAGGGATGTTCCCATCATGTTTATATCCTGGAAAAGCCTAGGTGACCCCCAGTCTTTCTACTTGTCTTTGATTTGTAGGTGCTTTGCTTCCCTGGATTAATTGCAGGATGGGAATGGGCCAAGATTGTTTTCGGCTCTCCAGGCTCCCTCAGACCAGAGTTTTCTCCTAGTTCCTAGTAGATGGAGGCACTCTGGCTGCCTGATAAGATTTCCCCAGCTATGCCTCCTTGGTGGTCCTGTGCCTAATTCTCATGCATATGCTCGGGCTGCAGGTGGCCTGACAGAGAATAAATGCTTAGTGGTCCCCTTTGGTCCCTTCCCAGGACTTTGAATCTGCTTCTGCCTTGGAGCAAAGTGTGATCAGATCACAGACCAGAGCCCCTGATGAGCCCTGGGATCAAGCTGGGGAAATGGATGTGTATTGTCTTGTCAGTCTGGGAATCCTTTTCCCTGTCTTTTTGCTTTGCAGGAAAATTCAGTCACCCTGAGATTGTCCAGCTTGTTTCTGAACTTGAGGCAGAAAGAAACGCTAGCATAGCTGCAGCCACCAGTGAGCCACCCTCCTGAGGCGCTGTCTGTGGCCGCACTCCTGTAACACACATTTTATTGTTCTGTTTCATGGTATCGTGTTTTGCCATTGTTGGTCTGTTAGTTTCCCTAGATGTGTCTGTTTATTTTTAATTGTCTGGACTTCAACAAGAAACATGGTGAAAGTTCGGCACTAAAAGAAGCCACAGGGCAGAAAGTGGTCATGAAAATGCTGTGCACGAAGACTGGGACTGGGGTGCCTTTTTTATAAACTAAATAAATGTTAAACACCTAAAACTTCAGAATATTTATTAGCAATTTTAAATCATCTTATTGTGACTTAATAACCTACATCCCCGAAGCCCAGATTCACTGAACAATGGAAAAGTTAGTTATGATTCCTTTTTAGAACAGATTGATCAGCTGACTTAAGGATAAGACTCCAGAAGACAAAACACATTGGTAATATCCTCTCTCCCCAGATGAAATGCTGCCTCATTCACATGATTACTCTTCTTGAGCCAGGTTTTGAATTTCACTGTGTCCTACTTCACATCTCCATCAAAGACTCAAACTTACTAACAAACGCTGCCCCTCCCTAAATCCTTTTATTGTAATTTAGGGATATAAATTGGAGCGTGCAATTTCAAATGCCACTTGTCCTCTGAGGTATTTTTCCCTATCCAGTTGACAAATCTTGAGACCTTCATAACATTTGTCACCGGGGGAGAAATAGAAAACTGGGGTCACTGAGCCATATGTAGGGATGCATCAACCCTCGTTTCCCTTTTATAGGATAAGCAGTTCACCCTTGCTTGCCTTTAAATCAGTGCTTCTCAACCTTCCTAATGCCATAGCCCTTTAATACAGCTCCTGTGGGTCGCGACCCACAGGTTGAGAACCACTGCTTTAAATGATGCCCAACAATGTAATCATGTGAAAAGGAAGGCCATTCGTGCAAACCTGCCCAGCATTTTGGTGTGGCACAGTGGTGCTTTTCCCTTTAATTCAAATATCAGTTTCCATTTGAGGAAGGTTTTGGAGGCTGGCATGGTGAACATTCTAGGCTGTGTTTCTTTGGAAACTCTTTGCAGTATCCATGGATACCCAATCGGCAGGAAGCAAAGTGCATGATCTCTTCAGAAGCAGCATACACGTGCATATGCAGTGTTCTGTATTGAAAAAGAAAAAGAGTCCAAAGTGTGATTACCATTGGAGATACGGTTAGTAGGGAAACAACTCCGTCTATCGGTATTGTGGAGTGCTTTTCTCCTGGCGTGAAACCGTGCACATAAAGTAGCCCCAGATAAAGTTTAGATATTTACTGTCAGAGAGTTCTCTGTGGCCCTGGAGTTTTCTTTGGAATGGTGTCTGTGGTAATTTTCATACTTAGCCAGCACAGTTCACAGAGGGACCTTGGAAGAGTCTACCGCAGGGGTCCTCAAACTTTTTAAACAAGGGGCCAGTTCACTGTCCCTCAGACCGTTGGAGGGCTAGACTGCGGGCCCCGGGACAAGTCGGCTGCTAAGCAGGACAGGCAGCAGCGGCAAAAACACCCGGCGGGCTGGATAAATGTCCTAGGCGGGCTGTATTTGAGGATGTCTGCTCTACCGCATCAGACTTTGTACTAGTCATCAGCTTTATACTGGTCCCCAGGCTTTATTTTAGCCAGTTGCCCATTGTCTCAGTTTATCATCTACCTACCAAGGAGTTCTCAGTCCCAGTCTTCCTCCCTGAGGTAATACAGTCTTTAAAAACAGAAAGAAAAAAAATGTAATAGTGCTAGAAATAAAATCTCATTTAATAAGAACAAGAACAATAAATAAAAGAAGATAGCTGTTGAATCAATCAGCAGTGCCTACAAAGAATTGAGCATTAATACTTTAGAAAAATTTTTCCCCCCTGATAGCTACCTCTTACTTGCTGAGAATTGGTCTTCTGAATAACAAACCCTATGATTAGGATGCAGAGTAAATAATCATTCTTGGGCTGAACTCAACAAAAAAGAATTTCTTCTTGTTATTTTTCCCCTGGGGACTGGCATTTTGCCAGCTGTAATTCTCAATGTCCTTGTATTTGAAAAATGTTGATTCATCTCAGAGCCTTGCAGTGGTGATATATGCTCTGGGGCAAGTGACTGATGAAGTGCTTTGTGGAAAAGCATCCTCTGTACTCAAGAATTTTTGTTTAAGTAATTTTCCACTCTCCATATCTCCATATTCAAAGGTGAGATGGGACAATTTCTGTGAGAGACTTATGGTTATATTATTTTTGATGTGCCTTGATATATATCCCCCTCCGCCCCCCGCCATGACACGAGCTACAAGTCAAGCAGAAATGTAGTGTAAAGAGTTTTACCATGCTTGGAGTTATCAAAAGTACCATAAGATTTTTGCAAAATATTATCATAGTTTGAAATTATATTTGACATCCTGGGATGCCAAGGCAGGTGGATTGCTCCAGCTCAGAAGTTTGAGACCAGCCTGAGCAAGAGTGAGACCCCCATCTCTACTAAAAATAGAAAAACTAGCTGGGTGTTGTGGTGGTCACCTGTAGTCTCAGCTCTCCAGAGGCTGAGGTAGGAGGATGGGTTGAGATTGATGTAAGCTATGACACCACAGCACTTAATCCAGGGAAACAGTGAGATTCTGTCACACACACAAAATATATATATGTGTGTGTGTGTGTGTGTGTGTGTCTGTATGTATTTAAATGCCAGCTTTGAAGATGTTGTTTCACATTTCATAATAAATCGTTTTTGACTTTGCTACCAGTTTTGTTTATCATACCCACTCCTACTCTAATTTGACAGTGAGAGGAGGGTGATGGGGTTGAAGTTCACAATTTATGTATCATTTTATCCTAAAGTTCAGCAACTTTCTTTTTCTTTCTTTTTTATTAAGACAGAGTGTCAAGCTGTCCCTCTGGGTAGAGTGCTGTGGCATCACAGCTCACAGCAACCTCCAACTCCTGGGCTCAAGCGAGTCTCCTGCCTCAGCCTCCCAAGTAACTGGGACCACAGGCATCTGCCACAACGCCCGGCTATTTTTTGGTTGCAGCCGTTATTGTTATTTGGCGGGCCCAGGCTGGATTCGAATCTGCCACTTTAGGTGTATGTGGCCGGTGCCTTAGCCCCTTGAGCCACAGGCGCCGAGCCAGTTCAGCAACTTTGAAGCTGACATTTAAGTCTGGAACAATGACTTAGATTGGCAGAAGACCAGCTTAGATTCCTGGGTTCTCTCCACACTCGCCACAGTCGATGGCAGAGCATGTCAGGCCATTCCATACTGAGGCACACGGCTTGTTCTCTTTTTATGGTTCAAGATCAGATTTCTAAGGATAATGTAATTTAGAGTAAGATGCATGTTGCTCTCCTACATGACCTACCAATGACAGTCAATCTTTATGAGATCCGAGTTGTAGGATAACATTGCATTGTACATCTATAGATGTTTTCTGTCATAGCAACAGTATTAAAAAGTGGTATTATAGTTAAATTAACTGCTTTTTAAAAAGTAAGTTAAAATTCACATTGGAATTTTTGATGATTAAAATAGTTGATCCCTAAATAGTATAGGATTAGGGGCCTGCACAGATGAAGATCTTTTGACTCCCCCAAAACTTAACTAATAATTGCCTACTGTTGACTAGTAGCCTTATTGATAACATAAGGAGTCAACATGTATTTTTGCATGCTGTGTCTATTATATACTGTATTTTACAATAAAAAAGGCTAAAGTGTTATCAAGAAAATCATAAGGGAGCTCTCTCTCACCTCTCCTTTATGGGAGGGACCCACTTCCAGCTCCCTTTGGAAGTGCTCTAAACTTTCTCTTTGTTCTTCCTAAATAAAATCTGTTACCCCCACCAGAAAAAAAAGAAGAAAAAAGAAAATCATAAGGAAGAGAAAACATCTTGCTGTTTGTTATGTGGAAGTGGATCATCAGAAAGGTCATTGTCCTTGTCATCTTCACACTGAGTTGGCTGAGGAGAAGAGGAGGGTTGGTCTTGCCGTCTCAGGTGGCAGAGGCAGGAGAAAATCCGCATATTACGTAGACTCTTGCAGTTCCAACCCACATTGTTCAAAAGTCAACAACATTGTACTTTTTTAGTTGAGTTATCCTTCCGTATAAATGATGTTAACCTGAAGTTATTTTGGTTTGTTGGTAAAAGGTTGTATTTAGTGTGTGCAAGTGCTTTTTAGCACTTGTGAGACACTTCACCCCCTGTGAACTAAGCCCAGTTGAACACACTGGTGATTGAGAAACTGAGCAGCCAGTCAAATCAGGATCAACTTGCCCGTGCAAAGTAAGGGAGAAACAGCCCTTAGTGATGATATAGGAATGGTGACTAGGCTCACTGCCTAATCTAGGGATGACTACCCATCTACCAACTGATTGGATTATCCCATTCTAAGTGATGTGGTTTAAGCATCTTATAACAAAGGAGAAAGCCACTCATGTCATGGCCTTTATGAAGGTCATGCCCAGGTCAGAGTGAACAATAAAAAGCCTTTAGATTAACAGAGGTAATCATGTAACCATGCTTTTTACCAAACTGATGAAATCTGAATTTTGATGAATGGTTGAATAAGATAAATAGCTAAAATGTATTGGAAGCTTTGAAGTATTAATGCCAGCTTTCTTGACTGTTTTTCTATTCAATTCAATTTTTGTAGCTGTGTTAGTCAATTCAACCCAATTTTAATACTGTTTCAAGTTTTAAGGCTAAAGCTATTGTGTGCAGAATTTGGCTGGTGAATGAAGACAGTGATTTAAAATAGCCTAATTCTGCTGAGTGCGGTGGTGGTTCATGTCTGTAATCCTAACACTTTGAGAGGCTTAGGCAGTGGATTGCTTGAGCTCAGGAGTTCAAGATCAGCCTGAGCAAGAGCCAGACCCCCATCTCTAGTGCTTTGCTAGGCACCTTGTAGTCACAGCCACTTGGGAGGCTGAGAAAAGAGGATCTCTTGCGTCCAAGAGTTTGAGGTTGCTGTGAGCTACGATGCCATGGCACTTTACCCAGGGTGAAAAAGTGAGACTCTGTCTCAAACATAAATAAATACAGTAGCATGTTTCTGCTTTATCTAATACAATGCACGTGTACTGAATGTGGTCACAAGGGTGGCAGCAAGTCTGTGAAAGCTGACCATTCCCAACTCAGCAGGCAGCTGCAGACCGGACTGAAAACCTGCGTGTTGCGGTGGGGGAGCCAGCACAGCCCAGGAGCCAGCTGGACGGGGTTGGAGTCCTGCCCAGCAAGGCACCAATAGGCGGGAAAGACAAACTTGGGAGAATGCCCACAGCCCTGCCGACCGGCTTTGTTGCCTATGTTTATCCACTCTGGTTCAAGTTTACAGCCCCATTCATTCCCTCTGCTGAAGTCCAGGCCGCAGGAAGTATGTGCCTCTGCATCTGCATGGTTTTCAGTTAGGTACAGAGATTTTATAGATTGTTGCGCTCCATTAATTTGAATAGAGTTTTTCAGATGGGCTTTATTTCACAATGTCAAATGTGGCTACTTCTATTTAATAACAAGTACAGAAAAAGTGAACAATTAACATACTAACATATATATGTATATATACACGTGTGTATATATATGTATAATGTGGGTTTTTAAAATTGTGATTTATTTATTTTGAGACAGAGTCTCATTATGTCGCTATTGGTAGAGTGCTGTGGCATCATAGCTCACAGCAACCTCCAACACTTGGGCTTAAGAGAGTCTCATGCTTCAACCTCCCAAGTAGCTGGGACTATAGGTGTCCACCACATCACCCGGCTATTTTTTTGTTGTAATTGTTGTTGTTTGGCAGGCTCGGGCTGGGTTCAAACCCGCCAGCACTGGTGTATGTAGCTGGGACCCTAGCTGCTGAGCTACAGGCGCCGAGCCTAAATTGTGATTTTTTTTTTTTTTACTTAGTCTGCATTTTAAAAATGTATCTTAAGGCTACATCCCTGCTACTTAATAACAAATGTATAATCCCATTTAGAAGAAGAAAAGAGAGGCTTCTAATGAGGAAGGTAAAAGGTACTGCAGAAATCTGAGCGGATTAATAAAAATCAGTTATTTTCATACACGTGAACAATCTGCATGCTGGAAGGGTTGCCGAGCTCTGCCTCTCCTGTGTTCTAGCTGTCCCCTACCTGAGTACCTGCCACTCTGTGTATGCTGGAGAATCTTAGAATTAGAGGGAACTGTAACATCCTAGCTATCCTCAGAGTGGCAACTGAAGTTGTATTTACTTTCATGTCCTCTCATAGTCACCAAATTAGCAGAAGTTGATTTCAAGTAGCATCTGTAGACTCATAGCTACCAACATTTGAGGGCATCCATAGCCCTGAAGACATAAAGGAAATAAGAATTCAAAGTCATCATTAAAACCAATTATTTTAATTGTTTAAATAAGCGGACATAATTGATGTAGGGGAAGGAGATGACAAGTGGTTAGATGGGGTTTGCAGGAAGTCATCCACTTGCCAGAGACAGTCATAAGGAGATCCACCCTGCTGATCCCCAGGGTTCCCTCAGCCTTCCAGGACATGCACATCGCACAGGAGGCCAAGCAAGAATGAAAGCAAATACTAGCTACACGTTTGGAAAACAGACCTGGAATTACGCAGAGAAGAGTTACCACCAATTGTGTACCTGCTCAAGGTGGGACATTTTAAAAGGTAACAATCTATGAGCGATGGTTAAGTGGTCCATCGTCAACACAAATACAAATGGAAATCATTTTATTAAACTTTCTGGAGAGGCCATTTGAGTAACCATGTCAAGGCTTGGGTTTCTCCCAGTAGGATTTTGGTCTTCCTATCTGGGTAGGTGTGAGCAGAGGCCGGCGGGGCATGGCTGGTTGGTGGACTGGCCCCGGCTGGCTGCCCCTAGCACTGCAGCTCCTCCTCCTCCTCCGCCCGCCGGGGGCCTCCAGAGCTCTGGGCGCTGGCGTGGGCCGTGGAGCTGAGCACCTCCTCAAAACTGCCTCCGCCGTGGTTCGTCCCACCTACTTTCGTCTGAAAGGAGCAGAAACGCAAAAATGCAGTTAGTCATTCCCAGTCATTTCTGTAATGTTTTTATAAGAATGCCAAAACTAGATTAATTTCAAATTAAGAACTATTTTTTATCTTTAGAGGCAAAAGAATGCAGAAAAGTTAGTTTCCTTTTAGCAGACTGCTACAATGCCATCCGTAATTGGGTTTGGGGATAGGATTCTAAACTTCTAACTTTAGAATGCTCTCTTTATCAATGTTTTCTTTATCTTTTCTACATCTAAGATTCCAGTCCCTTCAGGAGCATAATCAGATCTGAGGACTTGGAGCATCTACCCCCTACTTGCCCAGAGAACCAATCCAATGAAAATTGACTAGATTTTAAATTCTTCCAATTTTATAAATGTTATGAACATCTTTAAGTGACTAAGTGACTCAAACTTAGCTTTTCTACTTGGGAGTTAGCAAGGCAATCTGGATTTTTGAAAAATTCCTTTTGAAAAGGCCAAGGGGGCTCAATGGAACTTAATTTCTGGTGGGTTTTTTTGGAAAAACAAGTATCCAGTGTACTCGAGCTGATCTCTGTGTTGAGAGTTGGCGAGGGATCAAGTCTTAAGCACTGATAATTTCACAACTTTCTAGGCAGTTGATTTTATAGTAGGAATAGACCATAAAACACAAAGTTAGATGCTTCCTAAGACTCTATTCTTGGTACTTGTTAATTGACTAAGAGTAGAGACATGAAGAAGTCAACTTACAATTTAAAACTATGGTTAAGTATATCTTGAAAAAGATTCTTATTCAAAGCCCTTCAAAAGAAAATGTAATGGAAATACGCCTCATGCAATTTGTATTAATAATCACATTAGCCTTCCCTGCCATTGTTTTTCACAATGTAGAAAAACACTCTGAGGAAAGGGAAAGTAGAGAACGATGTTGCTATTGCCAATCTGATGCCTGCCCCTCACTGTCCCCAAAGTCATCACTCACAGACACTTTAATGACACTAGGGATGTGTCCATGCCACCTGGCTTACCCTTTAAAAAATTAAAACAGTGTTTCAAAGCCGTTTTCTACACTTATCTACAGTTGTCACTACATTTCTCTGCCTCTTAAATTCAATCACTAAATCACCTTTTTCCACTCTGCTTGAGGTCTGTAAAGAGCCAGTGAGTACAGATTTTAGGTTTGGGAAAAATATAGTCTGACATCTCAAACCAGCTGTCAGAAAAGCAGTCGCACACATTACATAAGTAAATGAGCATGGCTATGTTTTAATGAGACTTTATGAACACAGAAATGTGAATTTCATGTATTTGAATTTTTGTGTCACAAATATTATTCTTAATTTTGATTTTTTTTCAACCATTAAAAAAATGTAAAATCACTCTCCGGTTACAAGTCATTCAAAAGTCGATGACCAGCTGGATTTGGCTTATTTTGTGGACCTCTGGCAAGGAGCACTGGTCCTCCACCTCTCTGTTCTCCCAGCTCCAGGTAGAGGTGGGAAGGGAGGCTTTCAACTATGATTTTTGACTATGTTTATTTTTTTCCTGAGAGAAAATAAATAAGACTAATTCAATGTAATCAACTATGTTAATAATTCTCAGCCTCTCTTTTCTTTTTCATTCACATTCTCATTCTGCTTTGCTTCTGCTTTGCAATAAGTCACATACGGTGTTGAATCAGGAATATCAGTTACTGATGTTTCCCTCTGGGCTTTGTTTCTTTCTGCTCTCCTACTTTTTTTTTTTTTTTTTTTTTTTGAGACAGTCTCACAATGTCACCCTCAGTAGAGTGCTGTGGCATCACAGCTCACAACAACCTCTAACTCTTGGGCTTAAGCGATTCTCTTGCCTCAGTCTCCCAAGTAGCTGGGACTACAGGCGCCCACCACAATGCTGGTTGTGTAGTTGTCATTGTTATTTAGCAGGCCCAGGCTGGGTTTGAACCTGCTGGCCCTGGTGTATGTGGCTGGCACCATAACCACTGAGCTAAGGGTGCCAAGCCTGCACTCCTACTTCTTGACATTTTTTCAAAACAATAGTAAAATTAAAAAGGAAGGAACTGCTTTGAAAGAAATCAATCTGCCAAAGAAGGGAGGGAATCAAAGGGTCTCCTAACCATGTGGGTTCAGTGATGCTTTAGGCAAGGATCTGCTCAAGTAAGATGTGAATGTATTGCTGAGTGGGGCTTCCTAATCTCTCATGATAAAACAGTTGACATAAGAAGACACAAAGACATAAAGAAATAAAAAGGATAATATATCTTGCCTTTTTTTTATGTTTTTGATTCAGGCCATGTAACATATTCTTTTTTTTTTTTTTAATTGAGACAAAGTCTCACTTTGTCACTCTCTGTAGAGTGCCTTAGTGTCAGAGCTCACAGCAACCTCAAACTCTTGGGCACAAGCCATTCTCTTGCCTCAGCCTCCCAAGTAGCTGGGACTAGAGGTGCCTACGACAACGCCCGGCTATTTTTGTTGTTGTTGTTGTTGTTTGTTTGCTTAGCAGGCCCAGGCTTGGTTTGAACCTACCAGCCCTGGTGTACGTGGCCAGCACCCTAACCACTGAATTATGAACACCGAGCCCATGTAACATATTCTTCAAAAAGTAGGTGCACTAATCACAATATTTGAGTAACAGATACAAGAATAATTATTAACAAAGAATTATTTGTTAATTCTTTGCGCATCAAAATTCGTTTGGTGAGTTGCCAGGAATGCACCAAAAATGCAAATCCTTTCTTCTGATGTCATGGGTGAATGCCAGCTAATTCCATAATCAGTTTTCTACATAAGTTCATATGTACATAACTTACATATGTATAACAGAAAGAGAAGAAAAGGGAAGTGCATACATTTTTCTCTGCTTAGCAGGAAAAGAAGGACTTCCTAGGAATTTGAACTAGGGTATGTTAATGAAATTTTATAATTTAGAATCTTATTCTAAGACATTTGCATAATTTTAAATAAGTTTCAGAGGAACATACTGGGGACTAAGGGGAATCCTATAAGTATTTTATTGGGTAAAGGTTAAACAAGGAAAGATATAATTGTAAGGAATCCCCAAGGTAGAGATGACCAAGAATCCTGAGAACACTGGTTTTACATTATCTCCTGCTGCCCGCTATACTATAGACTGCTACCACGATTTTAAATGTTCGATTGAAGTGTGATTTGTATACTTAGTGTACTGGAGGGGAAAAAAAGTAGGTGCACTAAAAATCTGATCTGCTTTACGTGGAAGTACAACGGCGAGAAGGGATGTAGTTACTGATGATTCGCTGGAACATGTCAGAATATACCAAATGTGGTTCCACAGGAGTTGATTCTGCATCTGATTGTTAATTTTGGATCAAATAGAATAGGTGACACCAGCTAAGGGGTCATCGAGTAATACACTGCAAGTGTGTAGGCAGAAGCCAGGATGGCGGCTCACACCTGTCATCCCAGCATTCCCGGAGGTCAAGGTGGGTGGATTGCTTGAGCTCAGGAGCCTGACACCAGCCTGATCAAGATTGAGACCCTGTTTCTATTGAACACAGAAAAAAAATTAGGCAGGCATTGTGGCAGGTGCCTGTAGGGCCAGGTATTTGGGAGGCTGAGGCAAGAGGATTGCTTGAGCCCAAGAGTTTAAGGTTGCTGTGAGCTATGATGTCATGACTCTACCCATGGCAACAGAGTGAAGCTCTGTTTCAAAAAAAAAATGTAGTCAGAAGTAAAGTTTCTAGGATTGGACAATTTTTCATGGGAAAACTAACTACAGAATTGGGGATAAAAAAAACCACAGCTGATTTGCTACAACCATCACATGGTATGTGACTGACTGCGTGAGAAAATGGCAGGAGAGGGCCTCACCCTACAGCAGAACATTACTCCTCACAGAAGGTAAAGATGGCCATGGTTCCTGATCAGTGGTGTTTTAAAAAGCTAGCTTAAAGCAGACCTGTGAATGGAAATGCAGCACCCAGACCTGCAAGGAGTTCCTCTCATCCTTACTGATCCATGAGTCACTCCACTCCCTCAGAAACCAGCCTAAGGGGTCCTCAAACTTTCTAAACACAGGGCCAGTTCACTGTCCCTCAGACCGTTGGAGGGCAGGACTGTGGGCCCCAGGACAAGTCGGCGGCTAAGCAGTGGTGGCAAAAACACCCGACCTGGCGGGCCAGATAAATGTCCTAGGGGGCCGCATGGAGCCCGCGGGCCTTAGTTTGAGGATGCCTGGCCTAAGGGTTCATCATTGAAGAACACTAGAATGGTTGGAGAAGACTGAAATACAAAAGTAAATGCAGAAAATCAGCTATATAAAGAAGGATTAAACATATCTTTTATTTAGTCTAGAGAGGAAAAAAGGAATGAGAAGTGTGTCATTCCTGAGGCAGTGGGAGGTTTTACACAAAGCGTGGTGATCAGCTATTCTCCATTGCCTGGGTAGGCAGAAAAAGAGGAAGTAGGCTCTGGCTGTGAGACAGGAGGTGGGTGGGATTTCAGTCTTTTTAAACCAAGTACAGTACTGGCATGGAATCCACTTTCAGGAGGTCTCGACAAAGGCTAGTGCCTGGTGGGCTGAGTTAGTCAGAAGAACGTCTGCGGGAGGAAGCAGGCTCTACTCCTCTGGGAGTGTGGAGCCACACTGAAAATGGGCTGTGAGCTTACCAGCTTCCTACAAGCAAATGAAAATACGTTCTTTATTCTTCTTTTGCTTCTTTGTATCTCCTTCTTTTAAAGAAAACCTAAAAGTACCACTTTTCCTGCCTCAGGACTTGTGTTAACAGAATGCGTGCTCCTTGGGTTGTCTAAAGCTGTAAACTCGATGTTGAGAAGCTGACTCCTGGGATTTTTAAGCCTTTTGTTTTGATATTTTACCAAGAGAAAGGTCCACAACCTTGCAGGTCTCTCCATTAAAAAAAAAAAAGTCCCTACTACTGGGAGAATTTTCTGGCTCCTATAGGTTCCTGTATAGTTGTAAGTGATGGTGTTGCTAAGAACAGTCAAACGCAGGGCTAGAAACTGCTGGGGAACCAAACCAATGAAAGCCTGACCAGCTCTGAGCAGAACTTTCATTCCTGGGCCTTCAGCACCTGATCACTGGCCTAGTAAAGCAAAGGTAGAAAACTAAGGTAAAAACTCTGCCCTAAGAGAAAAACCTACCAGAGCCAAATCAATAAGAGCATCTGGGACCTCTAGTCAGGGACAATTTACCAGCTCACATACAGGCAACACGTGAGAATATTCAGGAGCAGCTGAATAACCAGCGTGTGACTGCTTGGTCCCCTTAAAGATCATACATCTTCTTAATTTCCCCAGTAATCGTATAATACAAAGGAGTGATAATGACAACAAGCTGTAATTAAATCATTGTTTAGGTGATACTGTCTTTAAAAATGACCTTAGTAGTTACAGTGATTTTCTTGTTTTAAAAGTTTGACTCATTTTAAGACCACGCTGATTTCATTTTGGCTCCTTTTCCTCTGTAGACTAACTTACCTATGCTCAAATACATACACAATATCTAGTGAAGTTTTTTTTAACATCTACTGTGTCAAAGGCATGTTTTGCATTTATACCCAGGGATCACAGGCATTATTACAAAATGCATTTTGTGACTCAGCTTAATTCCTCCATGATAACCATGTAGTGATGGCCTCAGTATGTGAATTCAGTAAATAAATCTAGGGAGCTGACAGGTAATGGATGGTAATACGTAGATGGTACTAGACTTTTTTTTTGCTGGTCCATGTCCAAACCAGAGGCACTTGGAGCTGTTATTGAACTTTCACTCATGCTTTAAATTCCAAATTCATACAGCCTTTATCCTCTTCCCAGACATCTCACATATCTACTTTGGTGGGGAGGGAGGTAGCACTAAGAGATTATAACGTAAACTCAAACCCCAATTCACTTTCATAAGCAATTCATCCCTGAATGGTTCACACAAAGGGCTCTAAGGATACAGTAACACTATTCGGTACTGGTCTTATTTATAGGTTTATATGTGAAGAGAAAAGTCTGACTGTAGCAGGTCTGCCTTCTTGGCTGAATGGGATGTGCTGGTGGCCCTGCCTTGCCTTTGGAACTAATGGCAGCCGTGCTACACTGTCCTGGTTCAATGGACCCACTCACACAGAATTCATGTCATCTGTACCTTGAGGCTTGTGACAGTTGTCTCAACCCTCTCCTCAAATGATTTGAAAGTAGGAGAATTCCTAAAATAACAAAAAAAGAGAGGTCAGCTCTAAAGACCCGGCTGTCTTAGCAACTCATGCTGTTTGGTTTTCTGCTCCTATTTGTAAACATCACGTCTGCACCAGAACTTCTTGTGGGTTTGCCACCTACACCTACCACACTGGTAAATAATGTCACTTCTGCTAGGTTATGTACAGAAATCAGAACCTGACAGACTTTTTCTGGGTGAAACCATCAGAAACTCAACTGTGGAATAAATAATACAGCATTTGGCAAGGCTGCAGCAGTAAGAATTCCATAGGACACTGTAAGTCATTTTCAATGAGTCAGTGGAGTGCTAGCTTCATTTTCCATTTAGCACTTAATTGTTTTTTACCACAACCCTCCTCTTCCTAACTCAGACGTTTTAGTGAGTAATGGAAAATCTGCATGAAGAATGTAAAGCTTGAGTTTTACCACTTGGAATTTTAAAGTTATTTATTACAGCAAATGTGAGACAGGACAGAAATAGAATTAAGGAAAAAAGATGTTTTTTTTTTTCTTTTCCATGTCTTAAACAGTAATCCTTTTGACAATTTTTGTGAAGTGGTGTTTCAGAAAGTTACTGCTTTCATTATTTTAGGGTGAAATATGCCCAATTATCTACCCAATTCCTGATCACAATGGTGTTATTAGTATGCGTTATTTTTACTTCCCAACAGGGTACCTATTTGTTCTCTTACCAAACAGCTTATGGGCATTTTATCTGTGGCTCCTTCACTGTGTTAAATGATCCACATACCATCATGATGCTTTAAGCATCGAATACTTCATTTGGTGCTTTCTGATTTCTCATACTGGATGTGGCCATGTGATATTATAGTTTAAAGACGTCATTACCATTAAAAATAACACTAAGTCCAGCTAAAGAAACAGGAGCGCAACTAAATGTATCTTCATTCTTATATCAATGGCAGCTTTCAATGCAAGGACGCCATCATTTTCAGGTCAAATAATTCAACTAAATGTTACTGTATATCCTAAACCACATGCTATTCTCTATTGAATATAAAAAAAGTAAACTAAGGGAATGACCTGATGAGACTCCTTTATAAAGAAGAAGGGCTATAAAATAGGAGTTTCACTGTATGATGTGGAATAAAGTTCAGTTCTTCAACTATCAAGAGGCTGCTAACATAAAGAATACGGGGGTGGTTATTTTAGTGAATTTGGCTCTGTTAAGGATTGTCTCCGGAGTCTCTGACACTCCACATAGTCAGAAAGGTACCTGCACTCAGCCTGCCTGGATTAACAACAGTGAGTTCAGAGGGTCCCAGGAGGCATCGTGCCTTGTATATGATTCAAACATGAGTCAAATTCCCGAGAGTACCCTCCAAGATTCCTATTTCGTGATGATATAATAGTGACATTATACTTGAATGACTCAATACTTACTGTTCCTTCATTTCCCCTGCAGGTTTTAGTTGGCCAAGCCCGCCCACATTACTGCCTGTCATCGGCAACACAGGCCCACAAAGTGCCTATGGTTAAGCCCAAATGGTTCATGGGTATATGTTAGATGAGTAAAATAATTGTTTTTTTAAAAAGTTGATCTCAGACAAACTCTTATTGACTGCATTTGACCCATAAGCCAGTACTAGAGGAGTTCCTGGTTCAAAGAACAAAGACATGTTATTTTTTGAGGGCCTTTTTATCACACCTAGAATTAAAATTCGATACCTGCAGGAGCCCAGAGCCTCCGGTTACACTACTTAATTTGGGTGTTCGTAAGTTAGGGGTACCAAGCCCTTCGCAGGAGAACTAAGCAGTCTTGAATCTATACTCCCTATTTGCCACCAAATACAGAGAACCAAATACTGTGGTTAAATTTCCAAATCAACCAATTAACCGAATAACCCCAGGGCAGAAGAGAGATCATCGGACATGACAGAACAGACTTTCCTCTAATTAAATTGTACTAGAATGCGTGCTGGAGGACAGGAAGAAACTGTTTGACCAGATTTAATCATATCATGGACCACTATAAACTTTTGGCACTGCAAAGAATTTGGCTTCTGTGGTCTCACACTACTTAAAGCAACAGAGCCCTCTCTATAATGTATTCGAACCACAATATGGAATATGCTTGATTTCTAGGCAGGTCTAGGGCTCTGGGAGCACCTTGGGAAGAATAATAAATCTGATTCTAGCCTCTTATTTTAAATAGGATGAAACTGATACCACTGAGGTAACTCTTCCCAAGGCTGCAACGTTAACTACGGCAGGATTGGGCTACAACTTGCATCTTCTGATGCCCAATCTAACATTCTTTCCTGTATTCTATCACTAATACTTTGATTTTTTCTGATTGTATTCATCAACCATGCAAACTTGAAGCTCAGAATGTCTTTCTCACAAGTTTTCAGTAGTAAACTTGCCAGTAATTTTAATAACACTTTATTGCTCATGTCATCTTAATGTCTACCATAAAAATCCTAATGATAGCCTTTCTAGAACTTTAGCCCTCTCGGTCTCCTATCTTTTTTTCTCCCAGGCTCGCATGTTATTGTACTGAAATAAGAAAATGTACTTCTACCTTTGCAAGTATGCTTGGAATGTTCTAGGTCCTGTGCTAAGTGCTAAGTTACTTTGTTTATGCCTCACAACCACCATATGAGGTAGGTCTTATTTCTTGCAGTATATGGATAAGAGAATGAAGATTGAGACAGTTATGTCACTTGTCATAGGTCACATAGGAAATGCTGGATTTAATCCAGTGTGTGTGGCCAAAAGCCCACCCCACCCCCCCATTCTTCTAAAGAATTCTCAGCCTTTTCTCCTAAATACCATTAGAAAAGAGGCAGACTGTGGCACTTCAGCAATTTCCTTCCACATAAAGGGGGAAAAACCCACCAGTAAATACAAATACATACTTTAAACACATTCTGATTAATAATTATATAAAATAGTTTATACACATTACCTCATAGCAGGCATACTTATGGAATGGCGAATGGAGTAGCTTCAGGGCAAAATGGATTAAGGGGGGAAAAAGAAATGGCACAATATAAGTACATGACAAACTCCCTGTTTACAGTTCTAAAACAGCAACTTCACATATTTGAAATAGTCCCTGCCCACCCCACCAAGATACTATTTCTTTTCCTTTGGGATAATGGGGCATAGTCAGCTTTCAAGGGTATACGTGGGGAAGAGATGATCCTCGGTCGTATTATTTTACTTCCTGCAGGTCCCCAGGCCAGGAAACCTGAGCAGGTCTGGTTTCCCCCAGGTGAGCCCAGTAGCCCAGGGGCATCCTCACTAGGCCCAACCTGAGCCTCCCCTCCCTTCTCCTGCTCATGCAGAGAAGGCCAGCGCCCAGGAAGTAGAGGCTGGCAGGAAGACACTCATCATTGCATCGCAGAGAAACCGAGGAAGGCACGTCATTAACATAGGACAGTCAAGGAAACATGACCCCAGCCCGGCAACAAAATTCACACAGGCCGGAGTGGAGGCCAAGGCTTCAGCATCCATTCTGGTTTGATTGTCAAGAATGTTTGGTACAAACAAAAACATTCCTCAGAATTTTAAGAGATTCAGCCTTCTCATCCTATTAATCCAACAGTAGCAGACCCATCTTCCCTCTGATTATTTATTATATTGTATTCCGTTCCACTCAGAAATCAGGCTGAGCAGAGAGAGCCAGCAAAATGGATCCCCTGCCCTGAGCATTAGTCCTGGCTGGATCCCCCTTTCAAACACTTTTCCACTTAAAAAAATTTTTTTTTACTCACCACTATACTAAGGAGGACCCTTCACACATTTCAACAGCGTCCCTGCTTTCTCCTCTCTAAGAAGCTAATAGGTCAGGGATCAAATGGCTCACTATTCCCTGACAATACCCACTGAGGTCATTAGTATGGACAGCACTTTACTAGAACGCAGAAAGTAAAGGTCAAAGAAACCGGAGGGACACTTAGGGTCTTACTCTAGACACTCCATTTGGAAACTATTAGGCAAAATATTTCCTCAAAAATTACATTTAAAAAACATCACTAAAAGAAATTCATCAGCATTACCAATCTGTTCATCTCTAAATATAAGCAATTTTCTTAGAAAAAAAATCCCCCTCTCCCCTCAAAATACATATATGATAAGGTCTCAGCTAGAAGTAGGGTCAATTCCTAGCCTGGGACTGACAATTGCAAACCTAATATATATGCTTTCCCGGTAACCTTTCTCCCTTCCAACTTCAGAGGGTATAGAAAGCTGCAGGTGAAACACTGGCACAAGTTCATAGTTATAAGGAATTCAGAGAAACATGACAGTCTAGAGAAGCAATCTGCTGTTTTTCAACTTTACTTTCTAGAAGTTTTATTTTAAAATCCACCTCTCTGTCGCCACTTTTCTTTTTTATTCTTCTTTCAATTCTAAGGACCTCTGCCAAAGTAGGAAGAAATGGCACAGGAAAGGATTCCTAAGAGATTGCTCAGCAAGTGAAATCGGTGTAAATGATCCAGAAATGAGATAAATGTACTTAAATAAAGTCAGACACAGTAGGTGCCCTAGGATCTGTATCGTCCTGGTCATGAACACGCACGGCCAAGGAGAGTCCAGTTGCATTTTCTGATTGAGGCATAGTGGGAAAGAAATGAACCCCAGGCAGCAAGGGGGCAGCCAGGGAGTAGGCAGAGCCCCTCACGTAGCCACGTGGCGCTTACCCGATGGAGTGAGACCTGCAGCCCAGCAGCATGAGGGGAAAAGCAGAGCAGAGTTAGCACAGGAGGCGCACAACCACCGCTGCCCCCGCCGCCCCCGCCGCCCCCGCCGCCCCTTTCCAGAGCCCCAAAGCAAAGATTGGTAACACCATTCTCCCCTCTTTTCTGAGTATACTGACTTTTTAATGGATCTTACAGATCATTTTACCGACTTATTATAAATGTTGCTTCTAACCTTTATAAATTGACCAGCCTTGGGACTGTAACAAATAAGTTAACATGTGGAGGTGGTCAATGTAAGGAACTTGCATTGAGTACGGGTGGTGCATGCCCAGCCCATGAAAATTAGATCAATTTACGGAAGTGGTCAATGTAGGGAGGTGGTCAACTATGGAGGTTCTACTGAATTAGACTGTCTAATAAAATGACATGCCTTCTTCGTACATTTCACCCCACTGGACCACAGTTTGAACCGATTCACTGAGAAATTCCAAGAAGATGCCAATAGCATTATAAAAATGATTCCAACAGCTTGTATTTATTCAGAGTACTTTCATAAATGTGACCGCATTTTAACATCACAGGAAACACTTTGGTCAGGCAAGTATTAACAATGTTATTTTACAGATGGAGAAAGACGAGGCAATTCTACGACAATCAGGATAAATTGAAAATCTCACTTTGCTCGGGAGATATAATTTATTTTTATAAAACATATAAATTAAATCCTGATACAGTGCTTTTCATCCAGTTATTAAAAGGTCTAAACTCTAGATTTTCAAAATCTTATTGTAAGTACTCACTGGAATTATTTTAATAAAAAACTGAGAGGTATCCTTGCAAGGTATCTGAGTTTTGCCAGCATCTTTTTGAACAAGTTTAGAAATTTCTTCCAAGAATGCACAAGAGAGTTTTCATGTAACTAATAAAAATATTGAATAACATTCTTTTTTTTTGTTTTTTTTTTGTTTGTTTTTGAGACAGAGCCTCAAGCTGTCCCCCTGGGCAGAGTGCCGTGGCATTACAGCTCACAGCAACCTCCAACTTCTGGGCTCAAGCGAGTCTCCTGCCTCCGCCTCCCAAGTAGCTGGGACCACAGGCGCCCGCCACAACGCCCGGCTATTTTTTGGTTGCAGCCGTCATTGTTGTTTGGTGGGTCCGGGCTGGGGATTCGAACCCGCCACCTTAGGTGTCCGTGGCTGGCGCCTTAGCCGGTTGAGCTATAGGTGCCGAGCCTTGAATAACATTTTTAACCAAAAAAAGTTTTAATAAAATGTCTATGATAAAATTTTAATACTTCTCCATTATCATTTTATAAACAGCACATTAATTTGAACAAAACATCAAAATTTACTAAATATTCTCAGTTAAGATTCTTTAATTAAACTTAAGCAATTTCAAAATGACTTTTATGTATATTACTTGTTTTAGCATAATGTAAAACTAAAAATTCTTTGCAAAACTTGTTGCTTTCACCAAGAATTATCCTCATTTTTATACAAAGGGTTTCAGAGAAATGTAAAAATATAAAATACTGGCTCAGCACCTGTGGCTTAAGCGGCTAGGGCACCAGCCACATACACCTAAGGTGGCAGGTTCGAATCCAGCCCAGACCCGCCAAACAACAATGGCTGCAACCAAAAAATAGCCGGGCATTGTGGCGGGCACCTGTGCTCCCAGCTACTTGGGAGGCCAAGGCAGGAGACTCGCTTGAGCCCAGGAGTTGGAGGTTGCTGTGAGCAGTGAAGCCATAGCACTCTATCCAGGTGAACAGCTTGAGGCTCTGTCTCAAAAAAAAAAAAAAAAAAATATATATATATATATATAAATACTACACTGAACTATAGGTCTGAATTTTTCAAATTCTTCAAAGTATTTTAGAACTATATCAAGTAACATAAGCTGCATTTTCCTATACTTGTAGCCACAGTTGATAATAAAGATATTATATTCTCTACATGGAGTAGTAATTTATAAAAAGTTTGGATCTCCTGGGAAATAGGTTATTTGTTCTGCTAAAACAAAACCACACTGAAACAGGAAGAAAGGTGATCATGACAACCTGGATATTATACCCAACTGGTGGATGTACATAAGGGTCAATGCAGCACAAATGTGAAACTAGTCTTCATTCTTCACTATTTGGAACAATCAGCAGAGCCTTTATGAAATACAATGGGCTCCTGTGAATGGACTCTGCCCAGTTTCCATGATGTTGGATCACCTTGTAACTGAGACGGCCATTTAATAAGGAGAAAAACTAGTATTTATTGAGTGCATAATACATGCCACGCTCTCTTCTGCTACTCTCATACTCTTACCGTCATTTCACAAATGAGAACACCCGGGAACAGAAGAGATGAGTCACATCCGACTTCCTCATATCCTAATCATCTGAAGCTGAATTACCTGGGAGCCTGTTACAGGCTCAGAAGCCTAGACTTCACCCAAGGACTCATTGTACTGAGGCACGATCTCTGAGAGGTACAATCTGGGAGTAGGTATTCTAAACAAGCTTCATTTGTGTTTAGTAAGGTCCCCTGAAGATGCTGAGACACTATTCCAGTTAGCAGTGATAGGCTGAATTTCTAGTGTTCAAGCGAAAGATTTCACTAAGTGTGTAGAAATCAAATTTTATAAACATGGCCAAATATATGTTCTCAGGCATAACAGGTAATGGGATGTTTCCTGTTTTAAGGGATTATTTAATTACTTTAGATAAATATTATAATACCATTGGAATGAACTGCAAATTTTATTTGTAATAAAATTAGGGGTAAGCAATAATCCTGAAGGTTTCCAGTTCATCACACCTGCCTCTGAAAAACTTCACTTGCTTTTTGCTATGAGGGTATTGGTAAAAATGAAGATAAAACAGCATACTCAAACTCACGCACATGTCCTTATTTAACTCTGGCCTTGGGAATGCCTAATTGATAAGATGGTTCATGAATATTAGGTATAATCTAGCAATTTTTGAAGTAAAAGAAAACAAGATACACATATATGTAAACATAAATATTAAAATGCAAATACAAATATTTTCCTTTACATATCAAAAGCTTTTTATTTTTATCAAAAAGTAATAGTTTAAGAATCCAGGAAAATAAATAAGCACAGATTTCTTTTAAAAAGAAGAAAATTAAAATGTATTTGAAGGGTGGCGCTTGTAGCTCAGTGGGTAGGGCGCTGGCCACATACACCAAGGCTGGCAGGTTCGAACCTGGCCTGGGCCAGCTAAACAACACTGACAATGGTAACAAAAAAGTAGCTGGGTGTTGTGGCAGGCTCCTGTAATCCCAGCTATTTGGAAGGCTGAGGCAAGAGAATCATTTTAAGCCCAGGAGTTTGAGGTTGCTGTGAGCTGTAACACCATAGCGCTCTACCAAGGGTGACATAGTGAGATTCTATCTCAAAAAATATTAATAATAACAAAATAAAATACATTTGAAACATTTTTTATATACAAATTTGGTTTCTAGAGAGAAAAATGAAACTGATTTCTAAAGAGAAGTCTCTCAAAGCGCGTTAACCAAATTCAAAATAAACTATGATAGGTATTTAAGCAAGCAAAAACTCCAAGACTAATAACTCTATATAGCTTTCTCATACATAATACAAAAAATAAAAGCGGCCAATACTACACTTTTTTCCTGATGTCAACAGTGAGGCATTTTGGTTCTCAGTTCAAAATTAACCTTGATGTTTACTCTTAGTTTATATAATAGTGAAATCATAAAAAATAATCAAATGTACAAGGGTATTTGTCTAAAAGTGTTACTACAGCCTTGCACTAGAGTTAAGGTAATAAAGACATTAAAAATGCAGCCATTGAATCATGAAGGAGGGCACTAAAAAAAAAATAAAGGTGTAACGAATTTTAAGATCTTCACAAAATATTGCTAAAGTAAAGGAAAAAACCATAAAAAAGTAAATATTATATGGTACTTTATTGGAACAAAAGAATAAATATATGTGTATTTAGCACAAAAAATACTGGATAACTGTATAAAAACATCCAACCTAGAGCAGTTTATCAGAGCACACTCTACTGAATGTATATTTTCACTTACCGTTTAAACTTTAGCTAGTAAGATTAAATGTGCTACATTCTTTTAAAATGTCCCTTACTAGTTACCCTCTACCTTCTATTGGGTTCTAGTGAAAAGGGCATTTTTAGGACTAAGACCCCTAAATTGATCTTCAGGCAAAAAATGTCCCCAAATAAAAATGTATCTTAGTCATCAATCAATATCAGCCATAATGTTCCCTTCAATCAGAAAGCCAGGGGCTTGGCCCTGTTCCCACGGTTCTTTCCCACAGTACCTCATGTCTCCAAACTTCTTGCTGATGGCCGTCCCCACATTGCTGAAAGCTGCAGTTGCCTTCTGCCCTGCGTGACTCAGGGTTTCATGTGTTTTCTTGTAGCTGGGAGTGAAAGAGGGTAACAGTGAGCAACACAGCTCTATCTCATGATCACTCATCCAATATTCACCTTCTTTCCTTTGAAAATTCCCTTTCCTAAACAGATTTAGGAAAAGGAGCCACAGAAGCAATAGTTTCCATTCATTGCTTGGAGATGGGAGGCTAAGTCAGACTATTAACTCTGAATGCTGGAAGAACATACATACACAAATGCAGGTCGGAATGTGCAGATCTTCCTTCACAAATAATGGAACTGCTACTGGAGTGGAGAGTTTTTCTTAAAAAAGTGCATTAATTCTACTAAGAGACATTGGTCAATGAAAGCTAGCTACCAAAAGTAACATACAGCTTAGAAAATGTAGGTTTTGGAAGGAAAACTAAGCTTATACTGTTAATTATGGGTGAAATTAAGAAATCAGAAAATGATAAAATGTGAGAAGTTATTTAACTTATTTTTAAAATATTTATGGCTGGGAATAATAAGGGCATATCTGAAGATGATATAATGACTTTTTCCCAAAATAGTTTTAGGAATATAATAAGGTGGTATTTCTTTTTAAGCCTAAGTTGGCATTAGACTGTGACTGTTTGAGGTCAAGGAAGCCACTTGTGTTTGTGTCCCCAGGAGCTGGCACAGGGGTAGAGGAGAGACTCTAAATACTAGATGATGGAATGGACCACATCAAAGAGGATGCTCTTCTGTGACCGAGAATGGGGAGCCGTGGCAATAGGAACAGAGAGAAATACGGTAGGTTACAGAGATAATGGATAGACACCTCTGGGACAAATAAGAACAAGATAAAGACTGTGTTTAGACTGTAGCACAATAGGAAGGACAACAGTACTACTTACAGGGATGAAAAATTTCTGAGTTTGTTAATAAAGTGGGAAATACAACGTGTATGACTTGAAGAATAAAAAGAAATCCATCTGATTTTTGTACAGATTTTAAAGAAACAATAACATCTTCTAATTTGTGCTGCTCGCAGGTTAAGTTTCCCCAATGTCCCTGATGCCTATAATACCTGCATGCACCTGGTACCTGAGTCTCACTCTTGCTCAGGTTAGAGTGCTGTGGCCTCAGCCTAGCTCAGAGCAACCTCCAACCCTTTGGCTCAAGCAATCTTCCTGCTTCAGCCTCCCACCACAGCATCTGGCTAATTATTCTATTCTTTTTTTTTTTAGAGACAAGAGTTTTACTTTTGTCACCCTCAGTAGAGTGCTGTGGTGTCACAGCTCACAGCAACCTCCAGCTCTTGGGCTTAAGAGATTCTCATGCCTCAGCCTCTGAAGTAGCTGGAACTACAGGCACCTGCCACAGTGCCCAGCTATTTTTTGTTGCATTTTGGCGGGGGCCGGGTTCAAACCCACCACCCTCTTCAGATAAGTCTCAAACTCTTGAGCTCAAGGGATCTTCCTGCCTCAACCTCCCAAAGTGCTATGCATTATTTCACATTCATAAGCCCCTGTGCCTGGCCTGTATCTGCTACCTTTGAGAAAACTCTTACAGCATGTGAAATCAGCTGTGCAGGAAGTTCCATTTCCCCTCCACCCCCCTCCCCACCCCCCACAAGTCACCTGGTCTTGAACATAATATAAGACTCCAGTGAATGCTTGCAAATATACCCCTTTGGCTTCTCCAAGACTGAAATCACTTGATCATATGATGATCGCTTGATAATATGGCAAGCTAGAATCCTCTTTTTTCTTTTTTCTTTTTTTAACAGGATGGATCGAATCTATAACACTATCAGCTCCATGTGTTATTTAATTACACAATACCTGTTCCTCAGAAAAGGTAAAAACCATACATCATTTGTTGATAAACCTTAAAACTAAATATTCATTCCTACCACATATGGGAAAAAAGCAAGGGGAACAAGGGTCAAAGAAGAACCTGGTGACAAGGATGTAGTGTGTGTCTCTGGAGAGGGCTGTATGAGTAAAACGGGCCAGAGGGTCCTGGCTCAGCAGCAGGTAAGACATGAGAAGGTGGGAGAAATGAGCAGCTTTTAGGGAGTTTGCCTCATTTATTTTTTATGTGAAGGTCCAAAAATATCAGCTTATTCAAATTATATTTTATTTTTACATACTGCCCCATGATTTTAAACTCTAATTAAAGAAAAAATATCTTTGACCATGTGAAACCACAGAATTTCAGGCACATTATACATGAAATAAACTATCATTTAACTTTCATTAATGAAAGGCTATTCAAGCAGTACTAAATATTAAAGACCAGAAATAAAAAGATCAATCCTCATTACAAGATTTTAGTGAGGTGTAAACTTGAAATGGCACGAGCTGAGAATTCTTCAGAAAAAATATGCTATGAAACAGGTTCCCATAGCCACGTCCTGAACACTTGAATTAAGTAGACTCAGAATAGTCTTCAAAAGCAAGATATAAAATGTAGTGGTTTTGGCCTTAAAAATAAGAGGTGTTATTTATAAATAAATAAGAAAAATCTTCAGTTCCTATCCTAGTTATATTTGTAGGATGCTAACAAAGTTTTCACAAAGTAATAATTGGGCTATGCTGTGAAAAGGGCATTAAACATAATGAGTCTGCAAATTTTCAAAGTGAAGATATCACAGATTATGTCCAGAAGAAACATACTCTTACTCTATGGACTGGGATTTGGAATTAGGCACAGTCTAGGGCTCTTTTTACTGACATTACAATTCTGAAATATGCCAAGACAAACTTTTTTCCTATGCAGAAGTTTCTCATGTATTTTGTTAAGGAATTAACACAATCCATTGAATGACCAAAGTAGGAGACTAGCATCATCACTGACACTTTCATTTCTTTCACCTTCTAAATCCAATCCACCAGGAAACACTGTTGGTTCATTTCAACTTTCAAAATAGGCCCAGAATTTGTCTGTTTTCTGACCACCTCCACTAATCGCCTTAGTTCAATTCACCATCACCAGTCACCGGGGCTGTTGCAATTGTCTTCTAACTAGACTCCTTTATCTCTTCATGGTCACTTATCAGTACAGAGCCAGAGGCATGAAGTCATGGCATGAACTTCTCTGCTCTTAGCCTGGCACTGGCTCCTCAGAGTAAAAATCTAAAGTCCACAAGGTAATCCCTACGATGGCCCTGAATAGTCTGGGCCTCCTCGTCTCTTCTCACTTGTTCATCCACTCCTGTCCTCCTGACCTCCATACTGTTCCTGGAAGATGCCAGGTCCCCTCCTGCCTTAGGGCCTTTGTTCCAGCTGATCTGCTTTGTGATGCCATCTAATTTAGCAAGAAAAGAGTTGTGTTGTTAAATGCCCCACTTTGAAGAATTAAAAAGACCTAAGCCTAAACCCTTACAAAGACTTTTAAAAGGCACATTGGACAGAGAAAATCCAATTAGAGTATGAGGTCCATGGGGCTTTGTCCAAGTAACTGCCAGCAGAATGGAGCTGAGCCCTGAGGAGAAAAGAGAAATTGGGATAGAAAAGTTAACCAAGGAAGGCTGAAGAAAGAGAGTTTATGGAGCATCCCTCCACCATTGACTCTGTATGGCCTGAAAGGTGACTCAGGGAGAAAGTAAAGAAATAGTCTGCAATATCTATGGGCACTGCATGAAGTTGGGACTGTAAGTAGAGAATTCATTCTTGTGTTGGTTCTGCATTTCTTCAGGAATTTCTTACCATTAGACTAAATATTTAATTTTCTTTTAAATTGTTCCATGTAGTTAAACTTTATGTATTTGATTCTGCTTTAAAGTTTGAGCAGGGGCAACTTTTGAACACTTCTGTGTATTAATGTGACATTCTGAATTTAATGGCTTGGTTTAAATGTAGCTATCTAGAGAGAAGTACATTTTGTAAATAAATGATAGCTGTACTGTGTTTTAAACAAATTTCTATAGCAAAATTGGAGGTGAGCATATATATATGGAGATGTGACTACTTTAGTGTGGTATATATATATATTTTCTTGTTTGGGATTCATTGAGGGTACAAAGAATTAGGATACACTGATTATATTTTTTACATAAAGTCCCTCTTATAAATGTGAAGAACAGACATTTTCACAGTGTTGATTCTTCCCAGCCATGAGCATAGTATGTTATTCCATTTGTTAATATCTTCTGCTATTTCTTTTCTTAGGGTTTTGTAATTTCTTTTGTAGAGGTCCTTTGCCTCTTTTGTTATGTGTGTTCCTAGCTATTTAATTTGTTTTGAAACTACTGTGAAGGGAATTGTGTCCTTGATTAGCTTCTCATCTTGGCTGTTATTGGCATATACAAAAGCTACTGATTGGTGGACATTTACTTTATATCCTGAGACATAACTGTATTTTTTGATCACTTCCAGGAATCTTGTGGTTGAATCTTTGTGGTTCTCTAAGATCATATTGGTGGCAAAGAGCAAGAGTTTGACCTCCTCTGTACCTACTTGGATGCCCTTTCTTTCTCTTTCTTGCCTGACTATATTGGCTAGAACTTCCAGCACTATAGTAACGGAGACAGAGGACAACCTTGTCTAGTTCCATTTCTAAGTGGAAAAGCTTTCAGTTTTACTCCATTCAGTAAAATACTAGCTGTGGGTTTGTAATAGATGACTTTAATCAGTTTAAGAAATGTGCCACCTATGCTTATATTCTTAAGTGTTCTAATTAGAAAAGGATGCTGAATTTTATCAAATGTTCTTTTTTCACATCTATTGGGAGGATCATATGGTCTTTGTTTTTGCTTCTGTTGATATGGTGAATTATGTTTATGGACTTGCGTATATTAAGTCAGCCTTGCATCCCAGAAATGAAACCTACTTGATCATGATGAATGATTTTTTTGATGTGTAGCTATTATCTATTGGCTAGGATTTTATTGAGAATTTTTGCATTTATATTCATTAGTGAAGTTAGTCTAAGGGTCTCTTTTTTAATTGGGTCTTTTCCTGGTTTTGGTATGAGGGTGATATTTGCTTGTAGAATGTGTTAGGGAAGATTCCTTCCTTCTCAATTTTTTGGGAATAATTTCCACAGCTCAGGTATAAGC